TCTGAGCTCGAGCCCAACATAGGGATCAAACTCACAAACCATGAGATCCTGACCTTAGCCAAAGTTGGACGCTTAACCCACTGAGCCACCCAGGCGCCCCTTTGTGTAGTTTCTTTAAGTAGTGCTGGGAGCAATTTTGCCAGCGTAGCTCTCAAAAATGTTGTGGCTTTCTATCCATCTGACACCAACCCATCCCATATGGTAGAACATACAGCCACCATTCTTTTTGAGACATAATTCTCTCTGTACATTTAACGATAGTGTTTTGGGCAAACCAGGATCCTGCGGGTACACTTTGTTAAGCTTTCTCCAAGAAATCTTCTGTCCAACTAGACAATGTACTTGATAGCACCTTAGTCTTCCTAAAGGCCTTAACAAAAAAAGTTTCAAGCCAACTTCTTCACTTTCCTGAAAGATTTCATGTACACAGAAATCATGAGTGGTCCATGGAGATTTGTGTCTGCTATGTCACAGAGGAGCTAGAAAAGGAGTTTTATATCACACTCCCCACTGTTGATTTTCTCCCATTTTTTCCCCACTGCACATGTCCCTGGTTTCTATGATGTCATTCATCTAGATTCCATCTTTAGCCCCACTCTGAATTTGTTAACTCATTTTTATACAGAACAGTTCGGATCATCTACCAATTGACCCCTTGCACCTTCATACCCAAACCTACCACTGCACTCAGCAAAGGTGTTAATTTTATTTATTTTTAAAACAATTTGTAGTGTTTATTTATTTTTGAGAGAGAGAGAGAGAGAGAGAGAGCGAGAGACAGAGAGACACAGCATGAGTGGGGTAGGGGCAGAGAGAGAGGCAGACACAGAATCTGAAACAGGCTCCAGGCTCCGAGCTGTTAGCACAGAGCCCAACACAGGACTCGAACCCACGAACCATGAGATTATGACCTAGACCGAAGTCAGATGCTTAACCGACTGAGCCACCCAGGTGCCCCGAAGATCTTCATTTTAAAAGGCTCACGTACTTTAGAAATGTTTGGGGGTAATATATATTTACATGTGTGTGTATGTATATCCTATACTGTTATCTTGTTTTGTCACAAACCAATACATTTTAAAGAGTGTTCCATGCCAATGAGTACTTTCTCACAACATGACCATAAATTGCTTCCACAGAGTGATTTATTTATAGAATTTTTAAAGAATTTTGAGTCTTTTATTTGTTTATACATATTTGTATACATTATCATATCTTCCTGGAAAATTGAAATTTTATTTGTATACTCCACAATGTGACTCAAATTGATGCATAGTGTTCCCCTCTATGGAAGTAAGTACTTATTTGTACCTAACCAATCTCCTACTTTCTCACATTTATATTGCTTCCAATTCACTTGCTAATATAAACATAGTTAAAATGAGCAACTTGTAAATCTTTTGGACAACTTTAATTATTCCTCAGAGCAAACTACTGGGATTTAAACTCCCAGGTGAAAGACTATAAATGTTTTGTGTAGTGGTGGGGGAAGGCAGATAAGCTTCATAAGCTAGTTGCCATTTAGTAAAGAATATTGATTTATCATCCTAAAAACTGATTATGTGCATGTATATTTTCCTAAATTCTATTCAACATTACATATTAGCATTAAAAACTTTTGGGGGCACCTGGGTGGCTCAGTTGGTTAAACGTCCAACTTCGGCTCAGGTCATGATCTCACAGTTTGTGAGTTTGAGCCCCGCGTCCGGCTCTGTGCTGACAGCTCAGAGCCTGGAGCCTGCTTCGGATTCTGTCTCATTCTTTCTCTGCCCCTTCCCCCACTTGGGCCCTGTCTCTCAAAAAGAAATAAATGTAAAAAAAATTTTTTTTTTAATTTTTGTCAAAAAGATAGAGTGAAATGGCATCTTATTTACCTTCTCCTGGTTTGATTGCTTGGAATAGCAAATGGCTTTCTTTTCTTTCTTTCTTTGGGCTTGTGTGGGTTTTGTTTGTTTTGGTTTGGTTTTTTTCCATGTGGAATGCAGTTACTGAGAGAGATGTGTTACAAGATAAAGTGATTATATGTTTATTTCTTTATGGTGTCGACAATTCTTTTATGGATTTTTGTGTCTATGTTAGTAGGTACATACAAAGTTAGAATTATTATGTATTTCCCTTGAATTGACTATTTTATCATTAGGAAATATTCCTCTTCATATCTAATACTATTTCTTGACAAAAAAATCTACCAGTAGAGCCATTTCATCTTTCTTTTTCTGGTTATATGTTATATATTTCTGTGGGGGGTTTTTTGGGCTTTCAACTCATCTTTGCACATACTTAAAGTGTTTGTCTTTAAAAAACAGCATACATTTAGGTTTTTAAAAAACACCCGGTCCAATAGTCTTTCAATTGAATTTTTGGGCCCATTTACATTTAATGTAATTACTTATTCACAGAATATAAGGTTATCATCTTGCTAGTAGTCCTTCTATTTGTGCATCTCTTTTATGTTTCCTCATTTCCGAAGCCTTTGTTTTAAAAACAATTATGGTTATTTTTTAAAGTTTATTTATTTATTTTTGAGAGAGAGAGAGAGCACAAATAGGGGAGGGGCAGAGAGAGAAGGAGAGAGAGAATCGCGAGCAGGCTCTGTGCTCAGTGTGGAGCCCGACTTGGGATTTGATCTCATGAACCATGAGATCACGACCTGAGCCGAAATCAAGAGTCAGATGCTTAGCCAAGTGAGCCACCCAGACACCCCTATTGTTATATTTTTTCTTATTGTTATTTTTAATAGGCCATTTTAACTCCCCCCACCTTATTTTTTTTTACCTCTATTTGTTTTTTGTTCATTTCTTTTAGTGATTATCCTATGGCTGGCAACATGTATGTTTGACTTACTAATAGCTATGTCATATTTTTCCACGTAAGACAAAAAAAACTTTACACAGTATAACTCTCCAGACTAAATTTGTTTTCAAATGCACGAATCATGGTCTTTTTTGTTTTTTAAAGTAAGCTCTACACCCAATATGAGGCTCAAATTCACAACCTTGAGATCAAGATTTGCAATGACCCACCACCTGAGCCAGCCAGCCAGACACCCCCCTGAACCATCGGTCTTGCTCCATTTCTGCACGTTGACCTCAGAGAAACACCTCATCTGTTACAGTCTTTCAAAAATAGTCACTAACACCAATTCCTTCATTCACTTCCAAAGTCCGGTATCTTCCCTATAGGCCAGAGAAGCTCCAGTGGTCTCTGCACCAGCCTGTTTCCATCTCCTCAGGGGAATTGTTTGGGTCCTGGTTTCCAGCAGCTCTTGCTCTTGTAAGTGGGTTTGAGTTTGTGTACTGAATTCTCCATGTTCAGGTAAAGACTTTGCATGAATTATGATCTCATGGAGCATTTTATTCCTTCTTGTTTCTTGAATGTGGGTGGGACACAAAATGTGTAGGTCACATGAGAGGAAGGAAAGGAAGGGTTGGCCAAAGATGTCACCACCCACATGCAGCTTGCCTCCCTGTCGTGGTTGAGATAGAAGAAGGGCCCTTAGAGCAGACTGCAGGGCCACTATGATCTCTGAATTTTTTTGCCTCCTCTGCCTTGGTAAGTTTCTTGGGCTTGTATACTGGGATTAGAGGTGGGGGCGGCTGGAAAGAAATGTGACCACCTGCTTGTCTTTATTGATTGCTTCATATGTGTTAGGTACCTTGCAGAGGCTTTAGGTACATCACATGTTTTCCAGTATGCAAATCCTTACATTCCACATCCATGGTCTATCCTGTAGGCCTACCTCATCCCTATTTATTTAAAATCTTACTGGGGCGCCTGGGTGGCGCAGTCGGTTGGGCGTCCGACTTCAGCCAGGTCACGATCTCGCGGTCCGTGAGTTCGAGCCCCGCGTCGGGCTCTGGGCTGATGGCTCGGAGCCTGGAGCCTGTTTCCGATTCTGTGTCTCCCTCTCTCTCTGCCCCTCCCCCGTTCATGCTCTGTCTCTCTCTGTCCCAAAAATAAATAAACGTTGAAAAAAAATTTAAAAAAAAATCTTACTAGCTCAATATCTTTATTTTAAACAAGTACATTCATTTGAAGACGGAAACTTTATGCCAACTGCTTAAATAAAAAAATTTGAGGGTGCCTGGTGGCTCAGTCGGTGAAGCCTCTGACTTCGGCTCAGGTCATGAGCTTGCGGTTCGTGGGTTCAAGCCCCATGTCGGGCTCTGTGCTAACAGCTCAGAGCCTGGAGCCTGCTTGGGATTCTGTGTTTCTTTCTCTCTCTGCCTCTCCCCTGCTCATGCTCTGTCTCTCTCTCTCAAAATTAAACAAGCATTAAAAATTTTTTTAAATAAATGAAATTTAAAAGAAAAACCAGGGTCACTACCAAAAATAGGTCAATGTAAACATATATACATTGCAAAGATGATAGGACATTCTAGCCATGCATTGTTGCCCATCACATTTCTGAGCCCATGGCCAGCTCTTCCTTATTACAAAGGGCAACAAGGCAGAAGAGGTTGATCTCTAGCTTGAAAAATTCTTTGTTGTGATCAAAGCAGTGGAAGTGATTTAAAAGGGTAATGCCTTTCCTTTTCAATGCCTTTCCCAGGTATTCAATGCTATAGAATACCATGTCACTGCATTCCCTAAAGTCAGCTCCTAGAGCATCCGTGGTTTATAATCCACCTTGTGGGAAATACCGTTTCGACCCTCACAAGCAGTCCTGCGTGGTGGGAATTAGGCCCACATTGAGAAATGAGGACTCTGAGATTGACAGCTCAAGGCTCCTGCTCAGGGCCATGCAGAGAATTAGCAGAAAGGTCAACATTCAAACCCAGGCCTGTCCGCCTCCAAACTCACTGGGTTTTCCACCTGAAAAATCTCTCTGAGCCATGCTTCCATTGGGGCATCTCTTCAGTTGATCAACATGCATCTGTTGAGTCTCAGTACAGTACAGAATGTGTACAGACACTGGGGAAGCTGAGGTGAACAGCCCAGAGCAGCTACCTTACAGGTGTTCACAGAACAGTGACACTTTGTGTCTCCTGTGGCATGAAGTACATAAACTCTAAAGAATTGAGGGTTTTGTGGATGTTTGTGGAACCAGCAGAAGTCCTGGGGCCATGGCAGGTGAAATTCGCACAGGACACCTTCTGGGGAAAATGAGACAGGAGCTGAGGGCAGAGCGGAAGCCAGGGGCCAGTGTGAGGAAATGAGAACCCCAGATGCATGACCTCCAGGGTCCAGTCTCAGCGTCAGCCCCCTGGGGAGGCCCCTCGGGATGGGGGCTCAGTTTCCACGGGCAGATGGTTCTCTTGCAGGGCTGTGCGCTGGCCAAGAAAGCAGAGGGACTGATGGTGAGTGTTCCTTCAGTTAAACCCTCCCTCTCCTTCACTCCAAATTCCCCACATCCCTTCTCTTTCCTTCAAGGGGTTTCCTGACAGCAGGCGAGGGCACCAAATCCTGTCCCCAATCTGCTTCCTTCCAGAGCCCCTTCCCAAACCCACCCTCAGGGCCTGGCCCAGCTGGGTGGTGCCTCCCAGAAGCAGTGTAAGGCTGCGATGTCAAACCCCGACCAAGGATGTCGACTTTGCTCTCAGGAAGGGAAATATTCTTTTGGATTTTTCACAATCACCGACTTCCAAGAAGGGCCTGGCTGAATTTCACCTCACTGGCCTAAGAACCAGCCACACTGGAGACTACACCTGTGAGTGCTACAGACCAGGGGCCCCGGACATAAGATCACCGCCCAGTGAGGTCATCCTGCTGCTGGTGACAGGTGAGGAGCAGGATGGACCTGGGGGAGGGACCATAGGATGGGACAGAGAAGGTGGAGACACACAGCAACAGAATGACTTGGTCGGCCTCATCCAGGGCTCATGGGGGGGAGGGGACCTCCTTCCCGCAGAGTCGAAAGAGGGTGACACCAGGGATCTGTGTCCCACCCTCAGCAGGAACCCCCCCCCCGGGAGAACAAGGGTGAGTGGGGGACCCCGGGCTTCTCCCCGTGACCTCGGAGCCCCCCTTCTCTTCCAGGAGGTCTCCCTAAACCTTCCCTGCAAGCCCACCAAAGGGGTGTGGTGACCGCAGGAGACGACGTGACCCTGCAGTGCCAGAGGCCAGACAATGTTTTCGGGCCCATGAGGTTCGCCCTGCTGAAGGCGGGAGTGGCAGAGCCCATCCGGCTCCGGACCCCAGCCGGCAAGGAGGCGGACTTCTCCCTGCAGACTGTGACAGTCGGTGACGCCGGGAACTACAGCTGTGTCTACTTCCAGACCGGGACTCCTTTCTGGGCCTCACAGCCTAGCGATCCTCTCGAGATCCGGGTGAGAGGTGAGGTTTTGCACCATCTTTCAGAAGTTGGGGAAAGTCGATTCATTTCTTCATCAGCTTGTATTTTGGCTCTTTGGCTTGCTTTCCCAGCTGGGTGGACCCATCACTGACTTACAACACTATCAGTTTAAGGTGAACGACGTGCTCTTTTTGCTACCTGGACAGCGTTGCTTCTGTTCCTTTCTGATTCTTCTTTCTCTTCTGATTTTATCGCCATCTCCTTCTCACACCTGCCCTTTCCTAACCTCTAGTCTTTGGCCTTTGTTGTTCTGTATTCCTGGAGAATTTCTCAAGTTGTTCTTGCAAACGATCCATCCCGCCAACCGTCAGCGTCCCTTCCCCTACCCTTTGCGTCTCTTAGACTTGTGGGTCGTCCCGGTGATGGCAGACTCATGGCTTGCGGTCTCGTTCTTAGTGCGCGCCGCTGCCCCGGCCGCCGGCTTCCGGGTCACCCGTGGAGGATCTTCCACAACCATCTTGTGTGTCTGGCCAGAACGTTGCTTCCTCGGATGCCACACCCCGTGCTTCCGTGGCACCGTAGATGTGTGCACGTGAGCCGTGGTGGCCCATCGCCCTCTGGTTGGAAAGCAGGGACCGTGCAGCCAGCGCAGACAGGTGCAGAGGGCACCCTGGGTCCGCGACGTCACCACGGGTTCCTCCCACAGACTTTGTCTCCGGGAAACGTTGTGGCTGGTGGGCTCACACATGAACTCTGCACCCATGGCCTGTGTGACATGGAAGCTTCACTCGCAGGTCCTCTTAGGAGCCAGGGCCAACCCCGAGCCCAGGTCCTCGTTAGGAGCCAAGGCCAACACTGAGCCCTAGCTCTTCTTGGGTGCGGTGGGAATGAAATGCACAGTGCTCTCGGTGCTTAGCTACTGGGCTTGAATTTTCTTGAGCTCACGGCCGCCTGAAGTCTTTGCCGTGAGGAGGGGGTGCACAGACACCCACCGAATCATTTCCACGCTCGGGGCAGCATCTTTGGGTTTTGGTCTTGCTCCTAAGCCCGATTCCTAATACCAGGAGGGAGAAGGGAAAAGGGACACGTGGGAGGGTCAAATGATATGAAGAGCCAATAAATGAAGGAAGAGAGACCGAGCAGAGAGAAGACAAAGGACAGAAGACCAAGGAAGACCCACTAGAACCCTCACGCAATCCCACGTTGGGTTTTCAGTGATTACAACTTCAGGGCGGCCACAGCTGACCACTGGCCAGGGCACACAAGTGGGTGCAGGAGCGTCCCGTTGGGCAAATCCACGTGGGAAGGACGGGTGCTCCTCTACTGGCTGGTGCTGACGCTCTCCTCTCTCCCAGTCCCCCCAGGTGCCATATCGAGGGACTACACCACGGGCAACCTCATCCGCCTGGGTCTGGCTGCCCTAGTTGTGGTTATTATGGGCGCTCTCTTGCTGGAAGCCTGGTGCAGCCAAAAGGAGTCTCCACGTGGATCCACGTAGAACAGCTGAGCACTTGTCTTGTTCACGGGCTGGCATAGTGACGCGGGGTTCTCTGAACACCAAACTCCACCATGGGGACATGCTGTGTTTCTCACCATGGGCACAATTGATACTTTGGGTGGGATATTTCTTCAGCACGTGGGACTGTCCTGTTCCTTGTGGGAACATTCAGCACCATTTCTTTTTCTCATTAAAGAGCAGCTGAAGCCCCAGTCATTGTGGGACAATATAATGAGTGCTATCAGGACCTTTCCCAACATTCCTATATATGGAGGATGGGAGGTGGGGTGGTGTTCTCCTGGTGGAGAACCTGTGTTAGGAGGCCAGGAGAAATATTTCCTCTCTTCCTTACTCCCTGTCCTCAGGTCTGTCCTTGCATGCATTGGCTCCACAGTTACCATGGAGAATGATGAGTCCTTGATCAAGTCACCAGCTTGTGTGAGATTTTACTCGTTCTCTTCCCTCCTGGGACAGAAGGCACACCATGGGGAGAGGTCTGGGAAGTTTGCAGATGAGATGAGATCTCACTCATTTCCTGACAATATCAAAGACACAAAGTGGCCCCTATGTCTCCTAAGAGTGACACCTGGGATATAGTGACCAGGAACTGTCCCCAATATTAAAGGCTTCTTGGTGCTTAGGATGAGATAAATTTAGAATCATTTGGTTGTAATTTTTTCATGTCAAAATCAAAATTAATAAAATGTATGGCACCAGCTGTCTTTCACTAGTACTAGGATATGGAAAAGGTAGACTTTAACCAAAAAAATTCTACAATTAGTTAACTGTGATACAGCATTCAGCAACGTTCTAGTAAAAGCATCATGACTTCTAGGTGTTCCATTAGCTGACAAACTGGAGAATAAATATCCTTTACTTAACTGTGATCTTGTTTTCTGAAATCAAGAACTAAGAGCAAGTGGTCTGGCAAGGGATTTTTTTTTAAATGTTCATTTATTTTGGGGGGCGGGGTAGGGAAGGGCCGAGAGAGAGGGAGACACAGAATATGAAGAAGGGTCCAGGCTCTGAGCTGTAGCACAGAGCCTGAAACGGGGCTTGAACTCATGAACGGTGAAATCATGACGTGTGCTGAAGTCAGACACTTAACCAACTGAGCCACCCAGGTGCCCCAGAGGATTTTCTGATGTGTGAGTTTATGTATAAGTCATTGAAAGACATCAAAACTGCTCTCAGAAATCATCCATTGCTCTCAGGACCAAGTCCTAAAGCATCAACGTGCTCCTTTAAGTCAAGAAAGATTTGGGTCCACTTCCCTTGGGATTTGGGGGACATTAAAAATGCGATAAATGCCGAAACAGCTTGCAAACACAGGCCACAAGGTCGAGAACCTGGAAACAAAGGGGGAGATGCCGTCTTTTATTTAAGCCTCAAGACGCATCTCGCTGCCTGTACTGATAGTCTCCCCTGGAGGGAAACTCAAAAGAGGAGTGCAACCTTCAAACAGCACTTTTTTTTGTTTGTTTGTCATTTTTTTCCCCCTTCCCTCCTACCTTCCAAGTTCATCTTCCTGCTTAAGCTCGAGTGGGCACGAGCTCACCTACCGATCCCAGCAAGGAGCTCAACACAGAGCAAGCACTCAATGGTGCAGGTGAAGCAAACGGACTGGTCTCCTACCCTACAGATTCCCAGAGGGGATGACGGATCCGTAGGCCCCGCCCTGGGGACTACAAGTCCCCGCGGCCCCTGCGGGCTTGGCCCCGTGCCCGGGGTGGGGGTCAGGGGGCGCGCAGGGTTTTTCCTCCGAGCGGGCTCCAGCCGGACAAAATGCCGGAGCCTCTCGCGGCGCAGGGTCGGGGCCCCACGTTGCCCGGGACGCACGGCGCACTGTTGCTAAGCGTGGGCGGGCTGGCGAGCAGGGCGCCGAGGGCACCTGCGGCCCGCGCGCTCCGCACCTGCGCTCCCTCCTCCGGGACGTCCGAGCGTGCGCGCCGCGTGCGCCTTCGGGAAGCTTCCGTGCGCGCCGTCCGCGCCCTGGCGCCGCCCGCGTCTGTGCTGGAGAGGCGTGGGAGCGGCGTGGGTGCGCCCCTCGCGTCCTGGTGTGAAGGAGCGGTGGCCCCACGGGTGAGTAGCGGCCGCGAGCTCCCCCGCGCCGCCCGAGGAGTGCGCTTTCCCAGGAGGATGCCTCCGAGTCCGGCCCTGGAGAGCGCTGCTCGCGGCCTAGGGGGCGCCCCGTAGCCCCAGGCGGGAGGGCCGGGGGCACCCGCGGGACCCTCCTCCGCCCCTGCCTCGCAGGGGAAGGGGGGTTCCGGGACTTAAGGCGCTCAGGGGGTGCATCCCAAAGAGCGCCCTAAGTAAGTAAGTCGGACGCCCAACCCACTGAGCCACCCGGGCGCGCTCCTTAACACTTTAGATTCTTAAAGTGGGGCATGCCAGACCTTTTATTATTATTATTGGATAAATTTGACTCGTAGGGGTACCCGGGTGGCTCAGTCGGTTAAGCCTCCGACCTGACCTGAGCTCAGGTCATGATCTCACGGTTCGTGGGTTCGAGCCCTGCATGGGGCTCTGTGCTGACAGCTCAGAGCCTGGAGCCTGCTTCGGATTCTGTGTCTCCCTCTCCCTCTCCCCTGCTCACGTTCTCTCTCTCTCCCTCTCTCCCTCCCTCCCTCCCCCCCCCCCCCTCAAAAATAAACATTAAAGGGGCGCCTGGGTGGCGCAGTCAGTTAAGCGTCCGACTTCAGCCAGGTCACGATCTCGCGGTCCGTGAGTTCGAGCCCCGCGTCGGGCTCTGGGCTGATGGCTCGGAGCCTGGAGCCTGTTTCCGATTCTGTGTCTCCCTCTCTCTCTGCCCCTCCCCCGTTCATGCTCTGTCTCTCTCTGTCCCAAAAATTAAA